CCACCATTGAGTCCTGGCGAGGCGTCACGGCCAAGATTATGCTGCTGGTGAGGAGGGGGGGGAAGGGGAAAGAGAAGAGTAGGAGGGGGGGGGAAGACACAGAGGTGCAGCGACTTCCCTCTCCGGTCTCTTTATTTTTGCTTCTAATGCTTCCATCACAGGTGCGCAGTATTAATATAAAGGAAAATCTCGCGGCAGACGGGCGGTCGATCGAGGAAAAACAAGCCGCTGTCCGGGCGGAGCTTCAGGCGAAGGTGAGAAGGGGGGAAGAAACGGAGGGGGGAAAGGATGAAAAACGGAGAAGAAGCAGGCCCATGCCAGGGGGACGGGGCCTTTGTGTCGATTCACGCTCTTGGGCGGGCCCAGAAAGCACGAGACACCGCGTTGGCCCTGAGGCTTGCTCACGGCTTGCGCCGCTCCTTCCCTCCCACACAGACGGATGCGGCGGCCCGCCAAGAGGCCATCGCCCATTTTCGCGCCATTTTGTTGGAAACGACCCAGACAGAGACGGAGAAAATGCAGGAGTCTGTGAGCTGGGCTAAATTTGGGGAGAACAGTCTGAAGGTAGGGAAGAAGGGTTGGAGGGAGAGAGGGAGAGGGAGGGAGGGGTGTGTGTGTGCGGTATGAGAAGCAGTAACAAGGGTCTTGTCCCACGGGAGATGCATTCTTTCCTGCGCTCGTGGAAACTCATCCGTCGATCGAGGCTGCTCACGGCCGTCCGCCCGAGATTCTCCCCCTCGTCCACCGTGCTGCCTGTGTCGGTCATGGCGCTGTCGGAGCCAGATCCTAGCGGATGGTGCTTGTGCCGCGCTCCTCCTTATCTTCTCCTCTCTCCCCCCTTAACCTTGGCCCCCCCCATGCTTTCTCCCTGGCCCCTCCTTTGAACTTTTCCCCCCTGGGCGTCTTCCCGCAGGACTTCAAGTGGAGCTTGATTCAGGAGGCGATTGCGGCGGCCGAAGGCATCGATTTCAGCGAAGTCCCGTCATTTTTGCTGAGGGAAAATCCGGTCGTGTGGACGTAACGACGGGCGGCTTTGGAGTAGGAGGGGGAGGGAAGCGAAAGAAGAGGTGGGAACGAAAAGAGGGTGGATTGTTGTGCAAGTGGGTAAGTGGATAGGAAAGGATGTCCGGGTAGGGATCAGCGCAGCGGGAGCATATTGGTTTTGCAATGAGATGAGACGAGATTGAGCAATTATGCATTGGCGCGCAAAATTGTGAGGGTGAGACGATCGATGAGCTTTGAGAAAAAAGTTTGTGCCCGGAAAAAATTTGGTCGTACCAAGGAAGAGGGGCCAGTGAGGCAGTGGATGGATGGTGCGGTTTGTTGTCGGAGTTTTGTCCAGCCAGCGTGCAGAGACGGTGTTAGCAAGGATATCGCCGGGACGAGATAGGCTCAGATGCGGTCTTTTCTCGAAGCGAAGGAAAAAGGATAATTTTCCGGGTATGCGTGAACGTTAAAGGGCGGACCTGAACGTATCGAGGCGAATGGGATGGTGTGCAGCGGGGAAAACTAGCTTCATTGACTCGTTGTTCTCGTGGTGGAGGAGGCGTCAGCGGGGCCTTCGGTATGAGAGCCAAGCCTCAGAAGCTGGTTTCATCTTGGGCAGCTCTCCTCGTCCACTACACTACTTGCATCTGGAAAGTTACCAGTCTCTAAAAACGAACCAGGTTTCCAAGACAGAAGCAAAAACGAAGCAACGAGAAAATGAACCAATTACTACCGAGCTCTGCTTTTTTCTTTCTTAAAGATCCCTTCAAGTGCCATCCTTTTTCCATTCGGATGGGAAAAGGAGAGAAGGACAGGAGGTGCAAGGGTGGCTGACAGCAAAACAAAAAACGTCTAGCGAGCCAGAGGGAGACACGCGAGTCGCCCGAGGCGAAAAAGAAGCACACTCACCCTCTCCTTCCTTGTCACCAGCCATCCCACCGCCAGCGCTCCCGAACCTCTGTCTCCAACTGTTCCGATCCGCTGATTCCTCCCCCCCCCGGCTCTCATCTCTTCGACGCCCGCTTTTGGAGGGTCATATGTACACTGCAGGCTTGCCCCTTTCCCTCCCTAGCTCCTCATTCCCTCGCTTTCTCCACTAGCTCGTGACACTCCCGCGCCAATTTTCCTTCCCCCTCCATCGCTTTGTGTTTCCCTTCAAATCCTCACAGTGCCGCCCGACACCACCCCTCCTTCTACACTTCCATCAAAGAAGAGGGGGCTCAGTAACGACTACATGGCATACCTTTGGAAAAAAGGGAACGGTACTCAGGTTAGCTAGGCGGTGTAGTCAGGGATCAAACTAGAACGTTTTTCTATCCCTCCCCCCAACCCTTCCCTCCCTCCCTCCCTCCTTACTTGGCCGTCCATTCTCGCGCGGTGGCGTCGTGTCTCCCCCGGTCAGTGCGGTAGAGTTGGGCGATTTCGGGAACCAGGGGGTCGTCGGGGTTTGGGTCCGTCAGCAAGGAGCAAATGGAGAGGAGGACCTGCCAAAGGAAAGGGGGGGTGAGCCCGATGGTATCGCGAGGGTGAGGGGCAGAGATTGACGTACCTTGGAGACGGTCAACGCCGGGCTCCACTGATCCTTAAGGATGTCGAGGCAAATGCCACCGTTGGCGTTGATGTTGCAGTGGTAGATGCGGGTCGTAAAATTCACCTGGCGCAAATAGAGACGAGAGCAACCCAAAGATCACGATCAGGATGTGGATGCCGACTCAAAAGGGTTTCAAACAGTCAGACAGGAAGGGATGAGGCAGTGAAGCGGCATATCAAGATTAAAACGCAGCCGCAAAGCCATTCTCAAAAAAGACACAATCCGTTCATCCCATCGGCGATGGGTTATCGATACATTTTCTTCATCCCTCCGATTGCCCCTCACGAGTACCTTGGGAGGCTTGAAAGGATAGTCTGCAGGAAAATGGATGTTCAAGAAAAAAACTGCTCCGCTGTAGGGCGAGTCGTCTGTGTGAGGAAGAGAAGGTGTCAGGGAGGGAGTCTTCCAACACGTGGTGCGGAACCAAAGCTTTCACACGCAAAGGAGCATGACTTTCCAGCAGAACCCAGTACTTGCCTGGCCCCATGATGGTGGCTTGCCAATGGAAAAGGTCATCGCCTACGGGGCCTGCTGAGCAATTAGCGGGCGGGTCTCGTCCTAGGGTCAGAACATAAGAGGGCGGAGAAACGTCAGAGAAGAGGAAAGGCGCCGAAAAATTTCACAAAAAGGACGGAAAAGCCCTCGCATCAGACCAATTCTGTCCACTTTCAAGAAACCTGTACACTTGTAACCGCGTATTCCACCGTGGATCCCAAAATTCTTGCGTCCAAAGGCACCGGTACCCTCCTCCCTGGCGTCTCCCCCTATTCCATGCCTTTCTGTTCCTAAAAAGACGCACCTAGGTCCTGGAGCTCCTTGTTAATCCTCTTTAGTGCCATCTCCTTTCGTGTAAATGTTTGTTATATCCTGCTACACGCATGGAGTGGACGTGCGAGACAGTAAGTACAAGGCAATGCTTAAAGGAGAGGAGTGGTGGTGCGTGGTAGGCCATCGACCCCATGCTGTCAGCTTATACCACAGCACACGACCAACAACCCAGCCACCATGGACGCAGGCGCGCAAAGGGTTGGCCATACCCGGCACACAAGCTCATGAAAAGGCATACACGAATGCCGGCCTGCACATTTGTCGTGTCCATGGACGTTTTGCTGGCTCCATTTTCTCCTTGTCCGGCGCCGGTGGGGCCGGTCTCGCCAGTCCATAACCCGTTTGCCAACATTAGTTTGGTCCATGTTTTTGTTCCGATACTACTTCCGAACGACGTACCTTCTGCAACATGGTTGAGTCCAGGCGCTTTGCACACTGAAATTCGTCTGTTTGGAGGATCACATCTGGTGTCGCTGGTGTAGGGAACTTAAACACGGTGGTAAATCGTTTTTGTTCGTTTCCTTGTTTGACCGGTACTAGTGAAGTGAGGGTCACGCATGACAAAATGCATTTCACACATAAAGCCGTGTGGACGCTTTCCCCCACGATATAGACATGCGAAGACGTGCAAAGCCTTTAGATCGCGTCAAGACATGAAAACAAATCGCAAGACAGGAACTTGAAAGTTTTTAACGTTATCCTGCCCGGGTGCGCACGAGATAGCCCTTCAGCCATTATAATCAATAGAAAAAATACCCCTTCATCGTTGCTTTTCAAAGCTGTTTACAAAGATGGTACAGAACTTCTCCCTCCTTGCCGTACGCAGTTTCCTTCTCCACTACCCACCCCGCCCGCTTTACATAGAGACTCAAGGCGCCGGGTAATGCCTCTTCCCCCAGGGTCGTGGCTCTCAAAGCACTCAACCCCACGCCTGTCGGCCCCTCTAAATTGCCTTCATTCGGCTCCCTGCCACCCTCCATGGGCGCCCCTTCTTCGTCCTTCTCGTCACCGTGCTCTCCTCCTGACGCTTTCCTTCCTTTTTCGTTGACGTGCATGAGCCTGGCAAGTTCCTCCACATAATTGAGCATTCTAAGTCCTATCCCTTGGCTCCTCTTGTCCCTCCGCACCGACAGCCGCACCACCTCTCCCACTGGCCTTCCCATCCTCGCCACCTCCCCTCCCTCCCCTTTCTTCCCCTCCCTACACAACACCCGCAGTCCCACGCAACCTACTATCCTCCCTTCCTCCTTCCCTTCCTTAACCCCTTCCTCCTCCCCTTCCTGGTCGCCTCCCTCCTCCACCACCAACCAGAATCTGCCCGGGAATAGCTCTGCTTCCAGCAATTTCAAGTCCTTGGTCACCGACTTGGCAACAAAGGAGACCACGGGTGGCCGTCCCTCCTTCGCGCCCTCCCTCCCTTCCTCGACCAGGCGGAGGACGTGACCC